GTGTGTGTGTGTGTGTGTGTTTGTGGGGGGGGGTGTGTGTGCAGTTGACGGACAGGCGGAGGGAAAACGAGGCAGAATTACGGCCTCAGTGACACAGAAACACTCTGATATAATCAAGAAAGTGCCAAATGATGGAAATGCCAACTAAAGCAGTCTGTCTGTAATCTGACACCAATCTGACACAACTGAAGTTTAAATAAAGTACAATTTTATTACTGCGCTTTGGAAAACATTCAAAGATTGGTAGCTATAGCCTGAGCCTTAAGCTTCATTTAAAGTAGTGAGTCTGACAGGTGAAGGATGAGGTGATGAGAGGCAAATTAAACCACCATGACAGTATGGTGACCTTATAGATGTGGTGCAGTGATTAAGTATTTATGTAGGCAAACCCCAAATGTACCAACACACCTTAAGACCAAATGCCAATGTGGATAACAAATAAACTCTGTGGCAATATGCACGGTCTCTTGACTTCACGTCACCACCGCTAAGCTAAAGGTGGCTAATGTTGGGCTATAAAGGAACTACAGCACGGTCACATGACTTCACGTCACCACCGCTAAGCTAAAGGTGGCTAACTTTAGGCTTTAAAGGAACTACAGCACGGTCACATGACTTCATGTCACCACCGCTAAGCTAAAGGTCGCTAATGTTGCGCTATAAAGGAACTACAGCACGGTCACATGACTTCACGTCACCACCGCTAAGCTAAAGGCGGCTAATGTTTGGCGTGATGAAGTTTAGTCGTCTCACTTAGACTCTTGTTACCAACTACCGTTTTTGTAAAAAACATACACACAAATACAGTTGTGTCTTAAAGTGTGATGACAATGCTTCTCTTTAAGGCATGATTTATACCTTAAGTATTACAATTGTGGAGAAATTATAAGTTATATTTATATCTTGGGTTCTCCGGTTGTATACTGGGACACAGAAGTCAAAGTGACCTGCAACACGTTTCTAAAAACAGGTCAGTGCTCAGTTTCTGAAGACCTGCCAAACATCCTTCCAGAATATCTGTACTGGGTCAAATACTAAATCAGTCCACCTGCTGATATTAAATCTTATCTATGCAGCAAACTTATTTTAAGAGATATACATGAGACGCCTCGGCACATTGTTGTAAAGTATTCAGTGTGTTCACGTTACAAATGCTGCAAGGAACGAGAGTTTG